ATATATATATATATATATATATATATATATATATGTTTTTATGTACATACGTATATATGACACTCCTAAACAAATGTGTTTGTCTGTCTTTCCTCCTGACTGTACTTGTTAATTGTGATTATATTATATACACCCTGGCATATTTGTTTGTTTATCTGTATATTTTATATGTTATTGTTGAAATTAAGTGAAATAAAAAAAAAATTAACCCTTATCGGCTTGTTTTATTTGTATGACCGCCATTGTGGAAAACGACTCGTGAAGATGGACCAGCAAGAAGAGCGAGGTGTGCGAGAACGCTGGGACCCTTTTTCCACCTGGTCTTTTTGGCCCTCATGTCCCTATGTTGTCGCACAAACTTTCCCCCTCTTCCTCACCGCCTCGGCCGTATCTAGACCCACAGCTAGTTCCTGATTGTCCCTCTTGCGTTGTGGTGGGGAATAACATAGCGCAGACCACGCTTCAAAAATGGGCATAAATCAAAAATATCTGCGACAAACTGCAGCGGGAGGATAACCAGCCCTTAAGGGAGTTTGTCTGCCCTCTAAATTGAAAGTAAAAGGTTTGTGCTCAAACTGGCAGTAAGGAGACAGAAATATCTATGTTTGGATAGAAACTGGAGGTACTACCAGATAGGTTCTGAATATTTCAGTCAGAACCATCACCGGATTTCAAGCCGAACCACAACAAAGAAATAAAAAAAACTCAAATTGAAGAAAAAAAAAACTTCAATTTAAACCGTAATTCTACAGAAACTGGAAAAGAGACAAGAACCGACCCAAACAGTTCGTCAAAGCTCCCAAAATGTGAGACTGTTCCTTTAAGATCCACAGCAAACCAACAGCAGCAGGGAGAACTACAGGGCAGAACCTGGAGGAACCACACAGCCCGACTCATCCTACCTTAAATAACTCAAACTCCTTCTTTGGCATCATGAGCTTCAGCGATGAGAAATGAAACACGGATGAAGGTAAGAGAATGTCGAGGGGGGGATGAAGGGTAAGGTGCTGATGAAGATGAGGAGCGTACCTGGATGGTATGGCTGTAGACAGGATCTCCACGGCTGTTCACGTCCATGGCTCTGGTGATCTCCAGGATGTTGTTTGGCACGTAGCCGGATTCTCCGCAGCCGTTCCGAACCTTCCACCACTGCTTCCTGTCATCCAGAACCTGACAGACAAAACACAGGGCTTCAGAGAGCTCAGACTCAGAACAGAACCTGGAGACTTTTATCACAGACGCTTCATTCTGAACTACTAAGGTTCTGTGTTCTAAAGAACTTCCTCATTCTGACCCAGCTGCTGACTAAAGACGACTTTGCGTTGCGTTTGCAGTAGTGTTGCAATGAAACCGACACCAGCACTAAAATGGTGGAATCGGTATCGGCAAGTACCAACAAATAGGGCACCGATACCATTTTGAGAGCCAAAAGTTTATTCAACTATTGTCACCCACTCCTGGTAGGCAATAAAACGTTCTACTGGATTCACTTTGTTTTAGTCTGTTTCCTGCTTCATAAAGGTAGGCAGCAGCTTGACAAAGCCATGATGGCAATTATTTTACATCCAAAAAGGATGCAGCTCTTCATATATACACACACCCATCAATTTCAAACAGATGGTATCGGTATCGTCCAATACTACACAGCCAGGTATTGGGCCAAAAAATGGCATTGGCGCAACACTAATTTGCAGTTTACCTCCACAAGCTCGTCTTTGACGACCGACAGCTCCGTGTTGTTTCTCCCCACAAAGTCGTACTTCGATTTGGCAAAAACTCTCTGTTCAAACCTATTTTCTGGATCAAAACTCCTGTAAGAAGAAAGCAGGATGTGGATTTGAGTGAAATATCATATGAACACCATACAAAATCTTCAGCTCAGATCACAGCCAAGATGTCAAAAATACAATCTGAACCTTTTTTTTTTTTGTTCCACTGATTAAAACAAAAAATTATAATAAAAGTAAAAAATGACTTTGTGAATCTAAATAAAAATTGGTCAAAATGAGTTCCCAGCCCTGGAGAAATGCTTCCCCCCGTTTGATAAGATCCAGAAAAGATCAATCAGGTTTCGGGTTCAGTTCTGAACAGATAAGATTCAGGAAATTTAAAGAAGAAAGATTAGAACAGGTTTGAAAAAAGGAAAATGAAGAACAGATTCAATCAGGAAGAGGAGGACCATCACCTTCATCAGTTTAGATAAATACATCAGGAAAAGGTCTTTATAGTTGATCAAAAGTCTAGTTTTAAATTATTAAAATGTGATTTATGATAAACATAAATAAAAAAAGTGTCCAAAGGTTTTTATTTTCTACAATAGGATTTTTTTTACCAACTAAGTAATGGAAAAGTAAGAAATGGTGTCAAATAAACTCATCCTGAAATTATGAATAAATAATAATGACTTTTTTGTATACTTCTGTTTATATTAAACTTACAGCAGTTTAACTAAAAAGTAGTTTTCACTCATTTTATTTTCAAAAACATACAGCAATAATGATGAGACACATTTACTTGTTTTTATCAACATTATTTTTCCTTTTCTGAACTTTAACAGCTGATTTTCCCTTGATATGTTAGTTAACAGAAGGGTTAATGGAGCAGGGGGGGGTCTCAGTTCTCCAGGGCGTCATGTGACCTGCTGTTACCGGTCGACACGGCGGCTGACGGCGTGTTTGAAAGCAGCCAAGGCCGTGTCCTGGTCCAGGACCTGGATGCGTTTGTGGGAGGAGTTATTGAGGGCGTACCCATCAGCTGGAGGAAACCGCTGCAGCGCCCCCTGCTGCTGACAAACAGAACACACATGTTAGCGGCGCTCGTCATCAGAACCTCCCATGGGTTCTGAGCGCATCTCACAGACCTCCTGAGACAGCCGCAGGTCGGCCGAGCGGTGGATGTCGGCGTTGACGAGGCTCTCAGCCAGCTGCATCAGTTCATGCTCCCGACTCGGCATCACGGCCGGAACCACGGGAGGCTCCCAGCCGTCGCGGAACCGCAGGGCGCAGGGAGGGAAGTAGTGATCCTTAGGCCACTCCAGCCTGGAAAACACACAGAACAGAACCTTTAAAGCCAAGAAAATGAGAAGAACAACTAAGGGAGAAGAACAGGATTAAGAAGCAAAAACATCTAAAACATGAGAACACTGATCAGAGAAGAAAAAAAAGGTATTTTAAGCAAAAACAAACATACATTAGAGAGAACATAAAGCAAATATTTCAATATGAGAACTTCAAGAACCCATGGAAATAACCTACCAAGAACAGATAAACGAAGAACCAGAACTTTATGGCCATAATGCCCATAAGGAACGTAAACACAACAGGATGTTCTTTAGTGGAACCTCCATGTTCTCACCTGCATTTTGTCCAGCCGTCTCCCAGAGTCACCCACAGGTGGCGTTCCTCTGCTGTTCCCGAGGAGTGGAGGAACTCAATGGCGTCTCTGGTGAGGAGAGGAACCACGACACTTCTAGCCAGATCGGTTCCGCCAGACGCCTGGACCACCTGAGAACAAAATGGAGCAGGAGTTCATTGTTCTCATTAGAACTCTGAACCTGTTGAAACAGAACATTTCAGCACAGACAAGTTCATTCATGATGTCGCTTCCTGGACTCACCATCCTCAGCGGCGTGAAGAGGAAGTGAACTAGGTCCACTGAGCTTGGGTTCTGAATGTGGTCCTTCAGCTTCGCCTGCAGGTCAGAATGAACTATGAGATATTCTGCAGGTTCTGTTCTGTCCAGATTTAAAAACCGTTCCTCATTTTATCGATGTTTTTCTCTAATTGTTACCAATTCTTCTTTTGTATCAGTTTTTTTCCAGAGTTCTGCTAACCCAATAATCAGTCTGAGAACGGGTTACAATAATTCCTCTAAAGCCGGGCGTACACTGTGCAATTTTTTGCCCTTTTCAAGGAGACTTTCCAGTCGTGCGAGAATTTTCAGATTGGCCCGAGTTTCAGCCTGATCGTGCGTGTCGTGTATAGGGGTAACGAGGGGCAATCAACCCCTCACGACCACCTCCCTATCAGGAATCGTGGGCAAATCGCTCAGTGCGAAACAAGAATTCCTCTTCTTCTTCTTCCTCTCAGATGAAAACACAGAGGAAGAGTAAAATTTACAGACCGTAGTAGTAGCTACGTTTGCTGAGCCATGTCTTTGTCCAAATACGTCGTCGCCTTTTCTTTTTAGGGCTTTCAGCACAAAATTGCTAAAGCAGCGCATTTATCTGTAGTGAGCCTTATATAAGTCCCAGTAGTGCCATCTCTCTCTGAGGCTGAGTCCGATGTGGTTTTTAGATGTGCAGTGTGAGAAGGTAGATTGGATCAGAGCGTTGGGTCGCACATGCATCGTGAGCTGTGAACTCACAGTGTGAAACGACTGAAAAAAATCGTACAGTGTATGCCCAGCTTTAAGAACAGAGTGGATCAGAACCAAGCCAATGAACAAATAACCAGTTAAAACAGGAACCAGTTACCAGCTGGTTGAAGGCATGTTTGAACTTCTGCAGACAGTCTACGAACTCTTCCTCACTGGGAGCTCTGGCTCTCAGAGACAGGACACCCTCTGGTGGACAAAAACAAGCACAGACATGTCAGGTTCTGATCCGTCACATTTGGGTCCGTGGAGAAGGTTAGAACTTTATAATGTCTGAATCGGAGTTCTGTTTAAGACTAAAGATTTTTTGGTTCATATATGAAGGGTTCTAACTAAGTCGATGGAGGAGAAACGGCGCCACTGCTGAAATTGAATTACTGAGGAGGAAAACTTATTTTTCACATTAGAAAAGGTTTCGTTTCAAATCTTTCATTTTACAGTTTTAACCCTAAAATCATTCAATGTTAGTTTTATTATTATTCACATTTTTGCTTTTTTTTTACTTTTTTCTACACATATATCAAAAATATTTTAGTATGTAAAAAAAAACAACTTACATTTCTGTTGATCAAAACAAATCAAAGAAAATTATTAAAGAAATAAATCAATTTAAATATAATGTCTTAACACATTTTCTCATAATTTTTTTAAATTTACTCAAAAAAATAAAAATAAATGACACCTAAAACAGAAGGGGTTTAGAAAAAACATTAAGGAAATTAATTCAAATTTAAATCAGTATTTGCAGGGGGAGTGGTGGCCTAGTGCAGAGATCACGGATTAGTGGGCTGCGGTCCAGATCCAGACCTAACCTGATTTAAAATTACAAATGATCCAATGAGCTGCTGTCAGTCTGGGTTGCTGTTGCTTTTTACACACAGCAGGCAAACCTGTGGCAAGCCGGGCGATGGGAAAGAAGGAGAAGATGATGAGAAAAAGAGAGCAGAGAAAGTGTGGACTGCTGGAAGAACTGTGGTGAACTGGTGAAAGAAAAGTGAAATGGTGCTCAAAGATGACCCTGAACATTTAGAGGATGTTTGGATCAACCTGCTGCTGTGAAGCAGGATTCTCCACCATGAACAGAATCAAAAATAAATATGGATCCAGGTCAGAGCATGTGAGCGGAGCGTGAAGCGATAGGTAGAGTAGAAAAAAATGGTGGAGCGAAGAGCAGTTTTCAATTCAAAGTTGAGAGCGAGGATTTCACTCCACTCTAGTTCGCTCTGATGCGCTCACAGCGTCAATTAAAAATGTTGGATTATAAAATTTGAAAAATAACATTTATTAGATTTAAGTGTGATTTTTTTCCTACATTTAATAATTAAATAGGAAACAGGGGGCAACATGAATGGAGCAGCCAGGTATCGGTCACATCATTAAATCAAGTAGTGGGTCCCAGGTCCCTTGCATAATTACATGAAGTAAAAATTTCAGAAAATGCCTTCTCCTGAAAATCTGAGCGAGCAGGGAGCCATTTCACCGGAGCGACAGGAAGATAAAGGTGAGCATGGAGCGGATTTTGAGCGGAGCGTCCTGGAGCAACTATGAGCAGCGGACCGAAGGAGCAAACATTCTCCTGAGCGGGGAGCGGGAATTGCACGGGGCTCCGCTCCGTTCACATGCTTTGATCCAGGCTCAAAATGAGCACCTTGATATGTGCTTTAGAATGGCTTTGTCTCCATTTAAACCCAGGTTTAAAGCCTTGCAGGGCAGCATAAAGCCCAGCCTAAAGCTCTCATTGTTTTTTTTTCCCCTTTCATTTTTTATGGCTCAGTCAGTTTAGGTGTATTATAAAATATTAGAATCTTGAAAATGTCTATATACCAAACTGAAAGATTGTAGTTCTCTACTTAAAAAAACACTTTCGATATTAAAATGGAAAAATTTTCTATTTTTTCAAATATATAGCCTATTAATATATTTTTTTTATTTAAAAAGTCAATATATACCGTGGATATATAAACACCTCATTTTATTTCAGTGTTAAATTCTGTTTAGAATAACAGCTTATAATTAAAAAGTGCAATCCACTTCTTAAATCTATCTTTGCGCTCCTCTAATTTATCCAGAAGTTCTGCAATCGAGCTTTTCCTCTCACTCCCAGCTTGGTGGTCAGTAACATATTTAGCATGCCTTCCCTGAAAATGCCTTTCCAAGTTTTCTTTTGATTTTTTGACAACATCTTATTATAAAGCAAAAATGCAGGCAATCCTTCCGCATTGATAATGAAAGCAAAAGATTCACTCCATTCTTTGAATTCTCTTTTCTCATCAGCTATCTTGCTTTTTTCCCTTTGGGATCCATGGTCCGAGACACTCCGAACACTTTGCCTGGCACCACGCCATGCTGGTTGGAAGTTATGACTACTTATCTCTATGGCTATGACGCAAATTATTGTTTAAATATATTATACAAATGTTTACAGCACTGGAAAACATACTTTTTGTTTGAACTCCTGCAAACCATATCAAGACAAACAAAAAAAAAAAAAATTTTCATACGTTTTTGAAAAAGCTCCAGGGAACCTCAAAGGGGACGCTAAAGAGCTGCATGTGGCTCCAGAGCCGCGGGTGCCGACCCCTGGGTTAGGGCATTGCGCTTAGGACTAGTGTTGCACCAATTCTGATATCAGTATCAGACGGGGCTCCGATCCAGCACTAAAATGGTGGTATCGGTATCAGCGAGTACCAACAAGTAGGGCACCGATACCATTCTGAGAGCCAAAAGTTTATTCAACTATTGTCACCCACTATAGGTAGGCAATATATAATTCTACTGGATTCATTTTGGGGAAGTCTTTTACCTGCTTCACCATGATGGCAATTACTTTACATTCAAGTAGTATGCAGTTCTTCATACATATACACAGACACATCAGTTTCAAACAGATGGTATCACTATAGGCTCATAATGCACAGCCAGGTATGAGGGACAAAAAACCTGCATCGGGGCAACACTACTTGGGAGCCAGAGGTCCTGAGTTCAATCCCCACTTCCACACCCTGCCAATCTGGCTCCCTGAGCAAGACCCTTAACCCCACACTGCTCCCCAGGTGCCGCACGATGGCAGCCCACTGCTCCCGAAGTGGATGGGTTAAATGCAGAGAGTTTATTTTGTTGCTTTGTACTTGTAAAATGTAATGAAAATATTTGAATATAAAAAATATTTGAATATTTCTGTCTGTCTGGGATAAAGTCCAGCCTAGAAGCTCCTGCTCACCTCCTGGAGCTTTCTTCTTGCTCTTCGTTGCCTTCTTCCTCTTGGAGAGCTCGTTAAAGGCCTCTGCCGCCTTTTGCAGTTTGGTGACGAAGAACTCGATGTCATCCAGGATGTGGTTTAGGATTTGCTGCAGAGAGAACAACAAGCCGTATTATGAATTGGTTTGCTGAAGCATTAATGATTAAACCAGAACCAACAGAGCAGAGTCCATCCCCCCCACCACCCCCCACCCCACCATTCTTTCAACTATAAGCTGATTTTCCTTCAAACTCTGATTATGTTTAAATCAAACTTGGCCCAACAATCAGTCCTTTGCAGTATTTTGTGTTGAACCCAAACCGTCTGCAGTGGCTTTCAGACCAGAAGGATGTGAGCCTCACCACGTCTCGGTCCACCCGCAGCGCCGTCATCTCCCCCGCTCCGTCGTACTGCGACAGATGCTGCTGCTCATCTGCAACACAACGTCACAGCCGTCATCACATGCAAAACACCTCTGGAACGAAACCGACTGCCCGGGAAAAAATGTTTGGATTTAAAGGGGAAACCAGGAGGCAGAGAAACTTCTTACCTCATTAAGGAAGAGAAAGAAAAACACTCAGATCTTCATCCTTACAGTAATCTAACCTCACTCAGAGGGTTGAACCCAGCTCACAACAAAACCACTAAACTAAATAACTGCTCATTATAAGAACCAGATTTAGATCTAATTAAATTAAAGCAAATTTAAACACATTTTCTTCGCAATTTTTTTCCTTTTAACCAATTATGATTCACAGCCATGATCACTATAACACTCATCATTACCATCATTTAAAATTCATAAAGTTTATGCACTCCTTTTGTTGTAAAAACCCAACTTTAAGCAGGTCTGCATTTCTTCCCTTTTGAGGATTTGCCACTCACAACATGGCGGACATTTATAATTTCTACTGGTTTTCCAAGTCTGCACTGCGTAAGGCTGCAGCTATCGATTATTTGATTTATCTATTGAATGTTTTTCTTGATTAATTCAAAAAACAGATGGTCTCAATGTATTAGCATTTATAAATAATTTATAATATTGTTTGCTTTGTATTATAAATGATTAGTTAATGGCATGTTTTAGAGTCTGTGTAGCATTACTAATGGTAAACATTCTATTTTTAAATTGGACAGCAATTACTTTAAAAACTGAAACTTGAAACTGCAGGGGTCAAGAAGTAATAAATGACCAAAGGCATACACAATATTTGTATTGTTTTGAAAAATGTACCCATTTATTTTCTACATGGGACAAGTTTTGTCCACAGAATGACAGATGCTGGTCAAATAAGTGTGAAAATAAATGCAAAACAAATGAATCAAATATAAAATTGTTATCAAATTTCTTTGAATTTTTATTCTTTTAATGTTCTATAATTTATAAATCTGAAATCAAAAACAGCAAAAAGATGAAAGCACTTGTCTTTACTATCGATACCCTGCAGTTACTATTGTATCCGGATACAGTGACTGAGTATCGATATTTGTGACAATCCTCGTATCCAAAAGATTTAAGGGAAAACATAATGAGTCAACAACCCCATGACATCACTCACAGTGCTGCTGTTCATTGGCCCACGCCGACCAAGCAGCTGTTCGCCCCTTACTCTCCTCTTGATTCGATGAAGGTGGCGCATCAGGGGCGGGCGTCGGGGGGGGAGGTGGGATCAGGCCGTCGCTCTTCAGAATCACTCTGCAGATAAAAAGTTCAGCCAATCAGCTGCCACCATTAAAATCCTTATAAGGAAGTGTTGGTGGAAACGTTCTCACTTCAGAGTCTCTGGTCGTTTTTTCACTTTGCCCCCTTTGGCATCTATCATGGCACTTTCTATATCCATGTGAATCAGATTTGCCTGTTGAAACAGAACATTTTTTTAAAATATCGGTTTAAAAACGACAAAAAATGGGGAAGCTGATCAGATTTGGAGCACCACAGGGTCATTTCCTCGGCCCTTTTTCATTTTTTTTTTTATTTTGAGTTAATCTTTTCAAGTCATTGTTTGAAATACCTTTAATGCATAATTCTTTAGGTTCTGACTGAAAGTTCAGTAATGAGGGACTGAAGACTTCATTTTAAAGTCCGCAAGCTCTCCTGAATTAAAATGTGTTGATAATAAAAACCCATCGATTTCAGTCAAGACAAAATGGATCAGTAGATTATCAGGAGCATTTACTCTTCAGCAGGTTTCGGTTTTATTTTAAGGCAGCCTACCTTGATGTCATCACACTGGAACAGGTGGAGGTCTGGTTTGCTCTGACTGGAGTCTTTACACACCACAGCCAGGATGGAGTCATAGCTGCAGGCATTCATCACAGCCTGGCAGTGCTGGATTGAGCTGATGGGGAAGTTCTCCAACTCATTCTAAAAAAAACAAGCATAGCATGTTTTTCATTTAGTATAACAATTTAGAGTTTCTTACACCAAGAGAAAATATTTTTTTGCCACAACTAAACTGAAGAAAACTAAACTGAAACCTGGACTGGGTTTCAACCAATGGGCAATTGTCCTTTCTCGTTAGCTTAAAGGTATAGACAACAATCTTTTATTTCATGGTGGATTATTTAAATAAGTGATCCTCCTAATTTTCAATCACTCTGGTGAGGTGTTTACGTAAGGCCGCCCTACATGTTCATCCCCAGTTAGCCATCTTTTCCTGCGCATGCGCCCTTTTAGGCGAATAGCTATGGTTTCAGACTAGGCTTGTCCCGATCCAATCCACGTATCGGATCGGGACGCCGATATTGGCAAAAAAATGCGTATCGGCAAAGCATGTAAAATGCCGATCCAGACTGCCGATCCAGTTTTTAAAAAAAA